CAGGGAAGCCCTTCACAACGCAAAATTCCTTAGGGCATTTGAACTCACAGAAGCTTATCTCCATATGTGCCTGGATTTGGCCCTGGGTGGTAGGCCTTGTTGCATGTGCTTGAACTTTTAATAAGCATAATGTAGAATTCCATGCAGCCATGAGAAGGTGGTTTCCATTAGACTACGTCATTGTTCAACTTACTAGCTAATTGCAGGTAAAAGGAGAATTGAAATCTCATTATGCCTTATATAGCAGTTGTATTTTGGCCCTGAGCTGATTGCAGAAGTTTACCTACTAAAACTTCCATTGAAAAATGGGAGAAGAGTTGTTTGGGGTTGTTTCCAAGCTTTCAGCATCAGGTCAAAGGGGCAGAGCAGCGATGCCGATTTGATGCATTGAGCAACTGTCAGACACTCTTGTCAAGACAGAGGAATTATTAAGAGTTTAGCAGCCACTCCTTATGAACTCATGCACACATGAGAGCTTTGCTGGTGGCAGCATCTCTTTTAAAGGAGAACTTTTTTTTCTCATTTAAAATGGTGTTCCTTTTGCAAACAGTTTCAACTAGTGCTACACCAAGATTTTGGGTTTCTGGCTCCTACAAGGGAGCAGTTGCTCTGTCTTTTATTGCCTGTTTTACCTTAATGAAACTCTCTCTCAGCTTCTTATCTTCTCCAAACCTTTGTATTGTTAACCCATTTGTGAAATGTGTGCTGATCTTCTCAGGGACCATGGATTAATGTTTCCATGAATTGAATGTCTTTGTCCTTGATGGCCCAGAAGGCCTTTGTTCTATTAATTAACCTTTAAGACTGTATCTTTTATGTCTGTGTATTATAATTTTCCAGTTCAGAGTCTCTTACTGGACCTGATGTGTGTATTTACTTATTTATTTTATTAGATTTATATCCCACTTTTTTCTTACAAAGAACTCAAAGCATCTTCCATAATTCTTTGACTGCTCTCAGTCTTATCCCCACAACAGTCCTGTGAGGTAGGTTGCGCTGAAAGTCTGTGACTGGCCCAAAATCATCCAGCTGACTCCATGGCTGAGCGAGGACTAGAACTCAGATTCCCCCAAGTCGAAGTCTCACACTCTTAACCACTACACCACACTGGCTTTCTAGTTGTCTGTATTAAAAAAAAGAATCATTAATGGGCAAAATATCACTCAGGAACATATATTTTCCAGCTACCACAATTTCAGTTCTTCTCAGATAGTTAAGAAAACAAGTTCACTTGTATGCTACTAATGTTTAGAGAGTAGAAGTCTGACTCTTGTGATAATGAGCCATTAGTCTCAGGATATAGCAATACTGTTGTGCAAATCATGTTATAATTAGAGATAGGGAGGAAATGCTGACAGAATAGCAGCCAGGAACACTTTTCAGCCTTTTCAGTGTGAAAGAAAGGGGAGGGGGTGTTAGCCAAAGATAAAGGTGCAAGTGCATGTATAGTCACAGTATAAGGGTAAAAAACTGCTCAAAAACTTACCAGTGTTAACATGGTATAACTGCTTCCTGGTGAGAACTGCCCCATAGTAATTGCTTCAGATCAGAAATTTGATATTTCCATATAGAACATTTGCACAAATATGGACATAAAACATGTCCAAAATGTTTCCATAAAAGATGGGAGCTCCATTTACCCAATTTGTGTGGGTTCTCTAGCAGGTTCAGTTTAGATAGTTCCAGCCTCTAATCCTGAAAACCATGAAAGGAAGGAAGCTCATTAAAGAATAGGGAAAGAACGGGGATTTCACTTGTGGGGCTGCTGGGATGCATGAGGGGACTGGGAGAACAGAATGGAGAGTGTGGAAACTGTGCTGTTCACAGCCATGTAATTGTAAATTTGGGCAAAAACCACACACCTTGGAAATCATGTGGGGTTGTTTGCGTGAACCTAGCCAAGCAGATGCTGTAGGAAGAAGAAACTGGTCACAAGACCTGGGTGCAGACATATTTGTAGAGACATTATGATAACTGACCAGTTTGCACTATAAAACTCTCACCTGGCTCCTGTAACATATAAGCTTGTTAAGTTTCTTAAGACCTAGCAATAGTATTAGTTTCACACATCTCAAATGGAAAGCAGTAACTGGTGTGAACAGAAGAAATGTTGTACTAGCATTTCCTTGTTCTTCTTTTTAAAACAATTCATTATTACCATGTTTTTCCCCCACAAACATGATAAGAGGCAAATTTGCTTCTCTTTCTGCAGTCTTATCTGATGCACCAAAATATGCAGCTAAGTTCAGCAGCAAAAATAACCATGACTCAACATTAAATATATTTGATGTTATCTAATGGAGAACTGCTCAAAGAACCTCTACTATAATGGAAGCTATGACTAAAGATAACTAATAAGAATAGAGAAAGCAATATTTCTTGGTATAGTGGAGACTAAAGGTGTTCCATACCAAGTTACCTTTTCCATTATCTCTCTTCTGTCTTTACATCTAGCAGTATTGTTGCAATGCATGTGACATGTAAAGTCTCCAGGCCTGGCATTTTCTGAAATATCCAAAGGGCAAAAATAACTTTATGCATGCTCAGCCTGATTCAGGTGTTCGAAAGCACAACAGAGCTTCCCTATGAATGAGGTTTATTATTGGCCAGTGGATTAATGTCTAGATTGGTATCGTAAATTGTCCACAAGTTAATCTTCATTATTAATCTTTTCATTTTCCGTTACTTAAACTTGACATGAATATCTTTTTGTACTCAAGAGTTCATAGTTGGTTTACAGACCCCAGTTTGTTTAAAAACCATTAACCATAATTCCTACTTTGCCTATCATAGGATCCTACATTTTACTGGTGAACCCTGGCCTCCTAGCTTAGGTGTAGAGAAAAACTTGGGGCACACTGCTTGTGCATATTCTAACATATTAAACATTAATATGGTCTGAAATTACATCTGACCTTGAGCATAGGGATAGGGTTTGCATGTGTATTGCCTACTGAATATAAATGCTATGCTTTTGATGGCTTTCATATTCTAAGTATGACCTCATGCTTGCACACTTATAATGTCATACAAACAAAAAGCATCTTCAGCACTATAGGACTTAAAACTGTAAAATTCACAGATTTTTTTACACATATATTACTGAATTTAATTATTTTTTTAATTTAACTTGCCAATTTCATTATTTTGTTACTTTCGAAGCATTTTTAATCTTTTATTCATAAGATTTATTCTAACGCACAGGACTTCGAGTTTGTGTTTTCCTGTATCCTTGCCTTTGGCTGTTCCTGAGAATTTATCCAACTTAGACCACAGTTTGGCACACTTAGGGCAATTAAAATCAGTGGGCTTTAGAACACCAACCTCTCATTGGAGTGTGGCAAAGGGATTTCTTTTACAAATCATGGCTCAGTGGATTATACAGAATTCAAAATACAGAATCGTAGAATTTTATCCTTTGAATTATAAAGGTGCTTTTCTAGAAAACTTGCAAAAATGATGTTGACATGGTTTAAAATATAAGCTATAACACTTCTGGCTTCTGCAATCCAAATATTGTACCATGAGTTTATATACTTTGATTACAGAGAAAATGAAGTTTGGTGAAAGGAGCTTAATTCAGTGAAGTAAGCAGTAATATCCATAGTTTTATTTTTGTTCCCTGTTAGAGCAATAATGACATTTCACAGCATGAAAATGGAAGAAATAAACAAGATAATCCGTGACCTTTGGCGAACTACCTACAGGGGACAAGGTACCAGTATAAAAAATAGTTTTATTACTAATGTCACTAGAGCATTTTTTTGTGGGCATGGGGTTCTAAGTTGGTCCTCTATTAAGTTAAAAACAGGTTTTAGTGTCAAGACCAGGGACAGGAGTCTTCTCCTCCTAACAAGCAATATGTCATTACCAGCTTAAGTCATCTTGATTTAGCCTGCTAAATGTATTTTTACCATGCAGTCACCTATGTCATGATGCATCTTTACAGATCCTTCTTTTTCTGTGTGAATGCAGCAAGAACTTTGTGGATGTAGCAAGTGTTTGATTTATTATGATTATTATATTGCGTTTATATTGATGCTCTTGCAAAGGAGCCCAAGGGTGGCTTACATAGCCTTCTTACATTTTGTTTTATCCTTACAACAATGGTATTGTCAAGTGGGTTCAGCTGAGAGCGAGTGACTGGCCCAAAGTGAGCTTCATGACTGAGTGGGGACTAGAACCCAAATCTCCCAAATCTAACACTCACCACCCCTCCACACTGGTTCTGAGTGTGTACTAGTACTATAATGTAGCAATCTGAGAAGAGAGATGCGCCAATTATTTGCAGAATCTTGAAGAAGGTTATTCTGTGGTTAATGCTTGCAGGAAACTTTGCCCATGCCTCTAGCTAACAAAAGCAAAGTAAATTATGTAAAGATGAACTTGTATATACAACTTTTATTGGTGCTGATTTTTTCATTTTTTAAGCAGAGTATAACCAGTAATGCGTATCTGGGAGCTCATAGATAGTATGGTTGTCATATGTACTAACCATTTAAGAAGGTTTAAGTATAGCCCATCATGCCTCCATGCAAAAGATTGGACTATGGCTTATGAATGAAGGCCAATTTGCCTACCATTTGGAAATAACCATTCAAGCTTTTTTCTTCCCTCTGTAGATATTGAATACATAGAAATTCGGTCTGATGCAGATGAGAATGTTTGTGCTTCTGACAAGAGGAGAAGTTACAATTATAGAGTAGTAATGATAAAAGGAGACACTGCTCTAGATATGAGGGGCAGATGCAGTGCTGGCCAAAAGGTATGTAATAGCATTGTGTTTTTGTAGCAGTTCATGTGAAGGACTTTTGGGTGGTTTTCCTGTGGCAACCTAGATAATAGCCCCTTTCTCATGGTTGTTCAAAACAGACTTAACTAAGTTGCCATGTTCACACAATTATATCTGGTTTAAATGCTCAAACTTCATGCTGCTCTTTCACATGAACCAGAAAACCATCATTTCCTATTTCTTCCAAATTGGGAGAATATGGTTAATGTACAAGCTATTATATAAATCCAACTTGAATCAGCAGCTTTGTTTCCTGGTTTCTTCCAAAGCCTACTAACCATAACTTTCCAGTCATGATGTAACAGGAAACCTGAGTTAACTGTGGACTTCTGATCTCCTTGCTTGCATGCGTGAAGGAAACCACAGAGCAGCTACCTGAAGGTGCATGAGAATTGTCATGAGTCAGCTTATGAAGCTGAGATCTGGTCATCTGAACAAACCCATTCTGTTCAGGCTGTGAAAATTATGAACAAACGTATAGTGGTGCCTCATGCTTAATTCGTTTCAGGGGGCCATTTGAACTCTGAATCGTTTGAAATTTGAAGCAATGTTCCCCATTAGATTAATGGAATGAATCAGTCCTTTCCCAGACCCTGAACAGTACCCATCTTGATAAACAGTAAATACACATAAGGTAAAAATAACACAAACGCCAAATTTATTAATTAAAACTTGAACAAAATTAATAAAATGTGTAAATATGTGCAGTATGGTATAATAAAATTAAAGTTACATTTACTGTCGAGATTTTTTAGTGAGGAATGGTAAAGCAGAAAATCAAAAAGACATTGAGAAGAAGCAAGAAGGCAGTGGGGACGATTGCGAAGGCAGGCAGTTAAAAGGCACTGAGAACAATCGAAAAGGCATACAGTGAAAAGGCACAGATGCCATGAGAGATGACTTGGGCATGCAGCTGATGACATCTAGGCAGTGACCACATATTTTTCACTGTGCTTGCAGTTCGAACTTAGAAGCATCATTTGCACTTCGAAGAGATTTTATCTTGACTCTGGATCGTTCAATGTTAGAGTCATTTGAACTACGAAGCACCACTGTAGTTGCATGATCCACCTATTGGCATGACCTATTAATGGGGGTGGGGTGTTCTTTTTCTCTTCTAATAGCAGATCTAAAGAAGTAGGATATTGATTCCATTTTACACGGAAGGAGTTAAATGTAAGAGATAATACTTTGCCCATTACTAAAGAAGCATTTGAACCTCTTAGAGGTCTTAGTCCCTCTATGTGCTCTACAGTGTTGATACAAAGTAATTTCCTTTTGGCTGTAATTGTGTTATTCAATACAATCCTTACTCAGTTGCAAAGTGTTATATTGTATTCCACTTGATGCTCTAGAAATCTTGCCAACCAGGTCACATATAAGGGAGAGAGAATGGTAGGAGAAGACAAAAAGAATGAGATCAGGGTAAGGATCCTTCAAGGGAAAGAGAAACATAGGCAGAAAAGACATTTGCTGGAGAGAAGCGAATTATGTTCTTCCACAGTTTGTTGGTGGGAGTAGAGTGGGGAATTGTAGAAATTCCTAGGTTGTTGATTCAGCTCTGGCTTAAAGGAAACAATTTGAGATCCATTTTTACTCATCATAGTGCATGTTCCGTCCCCCCTCATGTGAGTCCCAGCCTTGGAAGTGCAAGGGTGTGCAAAGATCCGTGTGCAGCAGTCCCTGCCCCATCCCTAGCACCGAGACGGAGAGGCAGATTGTTTGGCCACTGTGTTACGGAGGTGCCAAGAGTACTGCAGCTCAAATCCAGCAAGCTCCTTCCTCTCTAGCTCCTGACAGACCTCCCTTGTCTACCAAACTGCAACCTGGCCATACAAGGCAGAACAGTGAGGCCTTTCCACATTTGCCACTCTTACTGGTAATTGTGGAGGAGAGCAGAGTTGTCCCTGGTGATGTGAAGAGGCAGCAGTTGCCTTCCAAAACCAATGTTTATCCATGTGGAAAATTGGCATGTGAGCAAAAAAGCTAAGCTAGAATCCTTCTCTCTAGCTTGCAAATTTTCTATGTAAAGGCAAGTTTTTATATTGAGAAGCAGTCAGTCACATTAGCACTCATCTTTATTCTGAAGTTATCTGTCTGTCTGTCTTTCTGATTTGTATGCCACCCCATAGCCAAAGGCTTTCTGGGCGTCTCACTGTGCAATATATATATAAAAGATACAGATAAAAATAAATAACAATAACAAACAAACCGTAAAACATAGTAACATTAAAATACAATATAAATACAACCAAATAAATAGGAAACTGGAGGAAAATATGCACAATATAACCAATAACAATAACCAATAAAACAATAAACCAGCAGCAAACCAATAGTCCAATCTAAAAACAGATACTAAATAAAAAAAGTCTTGACTTGGCACCGAAAGCAAGATAAAGTGGGTGCCAGTTGCACCTCCCTTGGAAAACAATTCCAGTGTTGAGATGCAATGACCGAGAAGGCCCTTTTTCCTCACCAACACCCCTCTCACCTCAGATATACCCCAGAACTACTGCTGCATCAAATGTTTCTAGAAATGTTGTCCCTGTGATTTATTTACTGAACTGGGACCTCTTATTTTCATTTAGGTTCTTGCTTCCCTCATTATCCGTCTTGCTCTAGCAGAATCTTTTTGTCTCAACTGTGGCATTCTTGCACTAGATGAGCCCACCACCAATCTTGATCGAGAGAATATTGAATCTCTGGCACATGCCTTGGTGGAGTAAGTATCTGCAGATTTTGTTGAAAAGTCTGGAAGTTTGTTATACAGTCTGTAAATCTAGTGATAAGCAACCAGTGTCCATGGGTCAGTCCTTTCCAGTGCACTTCAGCTGTTGTCTCTACATGTTAAATGTCACCAACAATTTTAGCTCAATCTGCTCAGTATTATACTCACTAAATTCACACCACATTGGAGATCAGGAGCCAAGATGCACCACCAGATGTAATATAATCAAATGCAACTAAGTGATAATTTTGTTAAGATATCGGCATATAAAATAAACTGGGGAGATCTGTTGTTATACCAGTTGATCAAGTCATGACTAATTCCCCTGTTTGAGACTGGTAATGTTGGTTGTCCAGATTATATTGAGAGAGAGAGAGAAGAAGATAATATGGTTTGGTTTAGACCTAGTTATCTCAATCATAAACCATGGTTTACTATCTGAAGAACAAACTTTGTGTCCACATGCTCTTTTCCTGTCCTCTGCAGTACAAGACTTCTAGGATTTGTTAAATCTGAAACCACAGTTTCTGATTAGATACAAACCAGGAAATTGTAGTTTAATCTCTGACTACAAACTAAGTTCTGATTCTGGTTTGTCATATAAGAGTACACCCCAGGTTTTTTATATAATTGTAACAGAAACTCTTGGTATTAACTATGGTGAAGAGTTCGGAGAGTATCATGCTATACTTAGTCTGCATCACTTGGAGTCTTGTTGTATTTCCCAAATCTTGCCCCAAATTGTTTGTTTTTGTATCATTGTATGGAGGACCTGCAACTTTTCTATTAGAAAAAAGGTGGTTTCCCACAGCTTGATACTTTCTGTAGTGCATTGATGGGTGCACTAAAGAGTTATCCCTTTATAGTATAGGGTACTATACTTAGTTAGCAATAGTTTCAATGTTGCAAGGCTGGGAAGTGTTGGGCCCAAAGCACTCAGCCATATACTTTTGGATTATAATTGCTACCAGAAGTTTTGGGAGATTTTCTGTATTTTATTTTCTGATTGTTTGCAAATCTGACATGGAGCAATCCAGAATTTAACAAGAGTGGAAGGACTACTTTTTTCTAGGCTGCTAGGTCAAATCATGGAATTGTCTCTCCCCACTGATCAATAATAATTGATATTCTAAGCCTTTTGAGAATTTCAAATTAGTTCTTTTATTTCTTGCTGCTTGCTTCACCATGGCTTCCCTCCCACTTTCTTTCTTCCCCATCACATCCCCCACTACTGTTGTCCCTGCCAGCTATGGAATGGGGTGAGTGATTGAGAAATTGGAATTGTTGAAGATTTGTTTTGTATCCTATAAGCAAATGTGACAATGCACAATATCCTATAAGCAAAATTGACAATATACTTGTTGATTAGAATAGCTGCCTGTTTCCATCTAGAGTTTGAAGTGTTGTCTTTTTCTACTTGTCAATCTGGAATACAAGTTCATTTGTTTACATGTTCTATATATTGTTTTTCTTAGGATAATTAAAAGTAGATCCCAGCAACGTAATTTTCAACTGCTTGTAATAACACATGATGAAGATTTTGTGGAACTCCTGAGTCGGTCTGAATATGTGGAGAAATTCTACAGAATTAAGAAGAACATTGACCAGTGTTCTGAGATTGTGAAATGTAATGTCACATCTTTAGGATCCTATGTTCATTAGAACTTTGAAACAATTTTACATTATAACATTGTTCAAAAGCATAGAATGAAAATTAATACTGATCTTTGGATAAAGTTACTATGAATTAGAGCTATACTTAATTTCTTTAGAGTACACTCATTGAAATAAGTGGAACTTAAGTTGTACCAAGATCACAACTAGCTTAAAGTTCTTTGATTTAGGACCCTCTAATATGACTGTTTTGATATGGTGTTTTTGCTGAAAAAATATGTATCTTGCTGATTGGTACAGAACAGTTTCTTTTTTAAAGCAGGAAAAGGAAAGAAATAAAATAAAACTCTGCACACAGAAATATGGTAGTCTAACAATTATTGCTTGCATGTCCCAGAATGACAAGATATGTGTTTCAGGCCACTTCGTAATAAACTTGAGGAAATGCCAAAAATGAATGTAACGTGAAATTAAATCTGCATAGGCTTTCTGTGTGTAAACAGCAGCATGAAATACCACCTTTCTTCTCTGTGGGCACCACCACCCTGGCTCCACACACTGGTTCAGCTGATACACTGATCAGATATCATTTATGCCTGCTTACCAGTTAGGTAGAGCTGAGGGAGAAGGCCCTCCTTGCCCTTCGGATCCCTACTAAACAGGTTTGGAAGAATGAAGCCTCTGGGGCATAGTCAGCATCCAGATGGGCTTACCTGGGCATGGGCCCGGGATCTTCTGAGCTTTTGATTTCAGGGGGAAAAGACTTAGAACAATTACAGGGAGGCAGTAGAAGAAGAAGCACATAACGGCAAAAAAAGCTAGCTGGTTCAATAGAGATCATTGGAGTTTTGGTACCTTTATCTCTCAGCAAGTGCCATTTTTCTCCAGTTATCTCAGAAGTGATACTTTTCAAAATAATTTTCTGTACATTGGACTCCAGTCCATGATGACTTATTATGCCACAGTAAATTTGTGAGTCCTTAATTATGTACTCACCACTCCTCTGATCCACCTGGTCAGTCCTAGTTGGCTACCCCAGAGAAGCCTTGAAGGACAGGGGTCAAGAATGTATGTGGCAATTCACACGGATGCAAGCCTTGAGGAGCTTCTCATAGGCTTCCCCCCAGAGCTTCTCCAGTCACCAAATGAGGCTTGGTCTCATACCTTCCAGCTGCAAATTGCCCCACAATCAAAAAAGAGAGAGAAAGGTACATTTGATAGTAGATTAAAACAAAGAAAGGGTTCCCTTTGTTCTCTCTCTACCAATCCCTGCTTGCAGACAGACTACAATGAGCTCCATCACTTCAAAGAAATTCCAATTTTCTGTGGTAAGGGCAAAAAGAAAGGACTGGTAGGATATTACAGGAGGATTACACATGGAAGATGATGAATTCTGGACCTCCCCTGCCCACGTAAAATTCCATGAAGCCAATGGAGAGATTGCATAATAAAGCACCCTATGCCTCAAAATGTCATACACTGAAGGCTGAAACCATATATGTTGCCGGATGTGGCGAGTCCAGTTAGTTCAATTCTTAATATAATTATACGCATAAAATTCTTGGGGCAAATTCTTAGAATGCTCCAGCTTTGGCTGCTAAGAATTGTTCCTCTGCGCACAATTAACTATCTTAATTACTGTTCTTCATTGGCACCATCATTTTTCTTTTCAGTGTCATCGTGTGATAAAATCTTTTATCTCCTTTCTTGAAGTGACATATCTGCCCCATAACTCTATTTTAAGAAAAAGCACTCTTCTTACTTGATAATGCCCATAATAGGAGTTTTTTCTTAAAGATAGTAAAGGAATAGTGGTTTGCAATAAATTCTGAAATTGGCATCTATCTTCCTTGCATTGTAGTCTTTTTAATTTTGCAAAAATTGGCCACCATTAGAAATCTTATGCCCACAGTCATATAGTATAAGAGAAATCCATTATTATTTGAGGGTTTGGGGTTTTTTTTACATTTTCTATGCCACTCTATCTGATTAACCCCTCAAATAGTACCTTACAAAACACACACCAGACAAAACAGCACAAAGCAACAATAATAATTCATTCTGTGGAAGCACCCCAAGTGTGGAATTCCCTCTCTAGAGAAATTAGGTTGGACTCCAATTGTTAGCTATAGGTGGGCCATAAAAACACTGTGGCATTGTTTAGTTTTTGGTGGATTTCAAAATGGGATTAATTCTGACATTTGAGGTGCCAGAATGATTCTATGGGCTGGATAATAGTAAGTGGTAATCTTGTACACTGTTCTGAAAGCTTTTGCTAAACAAACAGTTTATAAAAAACTTAAATAAGCAGTAAGCCCCTTCTCTGAAGTCCCTTCCCCTCTTACAAAGGCCAACTGCCTGTCATCAACTGCCCCATTGCTCTGTGCAGAGATGCATGTTTCAAGCCGCACACAGAAAGGGACTCGGAACATAAATTTACCCAAAGCCTTCCTCAGGTGCTGGCTGAATGTGCAGCCAGGTTTGTTCCTTCCTCACTTTCCCTGATCAAAAATTGGCTGTCCCAGTTGAAGGAGCCAACTGAGTCTCAAGCCGTATATGCTGCCCCTTCCCTGTCCCGATGAGCTTCTGTTGGTGAATGCAACTGAGTCAAGAAGCGGTTTCACTCCCATCAGGACAAGTCAAGCAAAGGCTAAAATAGACTCCACTAACCTCACAAGAGTCAGGCTGAATCCTAAGCAAACTTTGCTCTCCCCATTCCTTCCTCAGTCAGCAGAAGTGAGAGAAGACAGCACCATAGCTCTTCTCACCAGGATTCTTCAGAGAGCACCTTCTCCAGTACAGAACTCTGCAGCAACTACAGTTACTTCTGTCTATACCACTTGGTATAGCTCTCTCTTGGTAGCCAAAACTCTCTACTATGAATAAAATGCAATATAAATATAGATTACAGTTTTTAAAAAACCTTTCCATAAAATTACAATAGTGTAAAACAACGTTAACGACTACAGATGGTCAACTAAGATCTGTCCTTAAAAATTTGTATGCTGTCCATTACTGTTGCCTCTGGATGACTTAGAAATTATTTCAAACTACAATAAAATACGATAAATTATCTATTCCTCACTGAGCATCATTTAAAACACATTAAATTACTATGTGTTAAAATATTGGCCAAATAAAAAGGTCTTGACCTGGCGCCGAAAAACATAATGATGGTGCCAAGCAGACCTCTCTAGGGAGCGCATTCAATAGTTGGGGCGCCACTGCAGAGAAGGCCCTCCTCTGAGTACTCTGTCTCCTGACCTCTTTCAAAGAGGGTTCCTAGAGGAGGGCCTCTGCCGCCCATCTCGGGGCAGGAGGGCATGTAGGGAAAAAGGCGTTCCTTTAGGTATCCTGGTTCCAAGCCATTTCAGCTAGGTCTGCTAAAAAGTAACTGGCAACACCTTCCTCCCTCCCTCATGTGCTATTTAGAGTTGCCAAGGGCCTTGGAAAAGAGGGCAGCCTTAACCGGGTGTCAAAAAAAAAGTGAAGATGAGGTCCAATGGGCCTCAGTGGGGAGATCTTTTCATAATTGGAGGGCTACCACAGAGAAAGGTCTCCTTATTACCACCAACTGAGCTTTTCTTGGAGGTGGCATATGGAGCAAGGCCTCAGACGTGGAGCATGGTTTCCAGATACATTGCAGCTGGAAGAGGTTTTCCATCAGGTATTGTAATCCCAAGCCATGTAAAGCTTTATAGGTTAAAACCAAAACCTTGAACCAGGCTTGGAAGCATAAAGAACATCTGGTTGTGCCACATCTGGCAGATGTCCATCAGGCGAGAACAAGGCCATTTGTGGTGGCACCCACTCTCTGGGGCACCCTCCAGAATAGAACATGTGCCATCTCTTGATGCAGCTCCGGTGCATGTTGAAGGCAATGCAGTAGACCCATGCTATGAACAGACCTAAGTTAAACTAACATTGGATGCAACCCACTTTGAATTCCATGGAGGAAAAGATATATTCATATCATAGCATATATCATGCTATGATGTACATATCAATACACCAGTACCCATAAGCTACAAGGAGCCTGTGCACAACTCAAACCCCCCTCCCCAGTATTTCTACATAGTGCTCCCTGATGGACACTTGTTTATCCACTGCAATATCAGTGCAGCTATTCTTACTACTAACAGCTGTCACTATGAATGCTTACATAGACAAGAGCCTGTCTGAGATACATTTCTATATATTTATCATATAGACGTGCAGAACTGTACATCTAAAACATTTCCAAAGGTCTGTAATATTTCACCTATGTTGCATGGATGGTAAAAGCCTACATGGATATGTTACCTTCAGGGAAGGCAAAATTGGACGCTGTGTTAATTGCAACTAGGTGAGGGCTGGGCAGCTTATGGCCCTCCGCATGTGTTGGCCTACAGCTCCAGTCGAACCAGTGGTAAGGGTTCATGGAAGCTGTAGGCCTAAACATTTGGAAGGCCACAAATGGCCTACCCTAATCTAATTGTTCCTAAAGTGCAAACAGAAGGGTTAGTTTTACTTTTCCACTCAGACACTTCCTTTTGCTTTAAATTCACCCCACCTCCAACGTGTGAGTCAAAGAATGGGTAGCAAAGAGCACTGCTACCTTTGAATTAAAATGAATATCAATATGAATATCAATATCAATCTTGCGGAACCGTTTTTCAGGTATACCTATTAAAATCTCCATTTGCATTGAACAGTAACCATTAGTCATTTTGCATCTTATCATGAAGATGCTGAGAAAGATGCGGTTTTGATACAAGGGGAATCCATTGCGTCATCTTTTTTCCCCTTTAGCGTATGTCATATCATGCACTACGATATAAATATTCGGGTTGCAAAGGAGCTACAAACAGTAAAGATTCTGCTCATAGCTCTTAGCAATTAAGTGAACATGTTTTTGAAAGCAATTTTGTTGGCCAACTGTATGGCGGGGATTGTTTTTGCTGCTTCATTGGCAGATCTCTGGCTTGGAAGAAACCTCCAATACTACTTCAAAAACATTGAGGAACATTATGAATCGATGGTAATATACTAACTTTTATTGTCATTTTGTTTTGTTTAACTGTCAATGTATTGCTTGTTTAACAATTGCAAAGAAGATGAGGATTCTTGACAATTCATTATTGGACCAATTTTTGCAAAAAATATGCAAGCAATTGAGCTCTTCTAGTTTTCTCGTTTGAAGAAGTTTGTAATTCCCTTCACAGCAGAATTGTTCCAATAAGAGGCATTGTTTTACTGAATGTACAATCTGGAAGCATTGGTGCTTTGTCTGTTTATGCATTGAGAATGATATGCAGTTGTGTATCCTTCATGAGCCAAATGATGCATTGTATAAACCACTGCATTGTGTAACTTAATTAT